ATTTATATAACAGATAAGATTATGTGTAATCCATTCACGAAGTTTAGTGCCCGCTTTTATTAAAAAACTAAATTAATTCCAAGCGTGTTTGAAAGGTAAAATTAAGTTGCTGATCTTTTTAAAATTGCTTCCCCATGCATCATACGTCAAAGTGAGTTTTCCAAGCGAAGAATCTAAGTACATTAAATTAATCCGGCTGACGACCGGTTGGCGTAGTGGTTTGCGTAACGGACTTCTATTCCAAAGGTCGCGGGTTTGATTTCCGCTCAAGTCAAACATTTGTGTTCATGAATATTTAATGTTTGATTTGGTCTGGGTGTTTCTATGTATAATATGTATGTATTTACAAAAAAAACCTATATATGTATTTATATCAGTTGTCTAGTACCCATAGTACAAGCTTTGCTTAGTATGGAACTAAGTGGCGTTGTGTGAATGTGGTAGAATATTATATTAGATAGTATAAAAAAAATAACCAAATTACGAAATGAGGTATTATATTCCAGGTAGGCTTGGCAATTAAAAGATGAAGTAGTACATATACTTCCCTATTACGTGGTCGCGTTGATATCCGTATAAGAATACACATAATTATAACTATACTAGCTTTTCCCCGCGGCTCAGCCCGCGTGTTTGTCGGCTATCGTGGCAAAAAGTAGCTTATGATAGTATTTATTTGGATAAGGAATAATATTAAATTTATAAAAGCACCTTCGCAAATAATGCATTAATTAGGACCAATTTGATTACCATAAAAAAAGTTATAGTGAGCCAACCTTAATAATAGGACAACCTATGAAATTGCCGTTTTGTATGCAATAACTGGAAGTACTTATTTTTTCAAACTTTTTTATTTCTGTTATTCGAAGTAATCACCCATGCAACCTTGCACCTACCGACCGTTGTAGCGTGATGTTGATATATATGTAGCCTATAGCCTTTCTTAATAAATGGGACCTAAGATTGAAAAAAAATTTCAAATCGGACCTGTAGGTCCTGAGATTAGCGCGTTCAACTTACTAATCAAACAAACTAACAAACTCAACTCAGCTTTATAATATTAGTTAATAAATAATAAGCCAGTTACTTACGGCTTTTTCCTTTAATTTCATTTTTAATCTTGACCTACATTTCATGATAAAAAAATAATCTTCTACGATTTCTTTAAAGCTACGAGTAAGTACCCTATACAAATTGATTTACCTGCAACATATGGACTTGATGTCAATTTCATATTGATACATGTTCCTAAGAAAAAGAGTCTTGGCAGACGGACAAGGCAGTCCTATCACTCGCTTTTCCTTTTCATGAACGAAACCCTAAAATTGAAATATTACTTCTTCCATCACAACTTTATTGATACCGTAAATAACAGTGCTGTCTAATGTCAATCTCATTACACATCCTATACTCATATTATACTAATTTGAGTCGCACGTCGGGCTGTCTGACATATGATATGTTAGAATTTAGTTTGAATAACACTCATTAGTCTGCGGGTAATTTTAAACTTGAGTGAGGTCTAATCGCGTCCTGTGAGACACGTCTGTCTAGTTAACCCACGAGGAATCGTGTAGTATTAAATGACAATCTATTTTATGTATATAATTGTAGGGGGTTTATTGCTTTATGGTATTTTAGAAGCATAAAGAAATTAAATTAACAGTGACACCTAAAAATGTGGAATTAACGGAATGAAGTGCCTACTTCATTCGAATATACAGGGTATAAGAGACGCCGTAACGATTACTGCAATAGTTATTAATTGGATTTTTCTGCCGGCAAATTAAAGATTTTATGCATACAGCTGTCACACGCTGAGGTCATTCTCCGTAGGTGTCGCACAAAAGTAATAACTACTTTTGTATTCCGTTGCGGCGCTTCGGCTGTTTGATTTGGAGGATTTATATATATTTGTCGGAATTACATTGGAGCTTCTAACCGTATGCGGTATTTATAAAAAAAATAATAGGTTAAATTTTCTGTTTACTCATTGTGATATCATTGTTAACCAAAAAAAAGGAAAATTATAAAAAAAATGGATGAATTTTCCAGCAGAAAATTCCAATGATTTTCGACTCAGAATGATGGTCTTAATACATATTTCAGTATTCGTTACACCAACTTTTTTCCCTGCATAAACGTTTTAGTTTAGGCTACAAGAAATAGTTTCTCTTTTGTAGAGTAGGGGGCAAACTAGCAGACGGGTCATCAGATAGTACGTGACTACCGCCGCCCACGGACAGTTGCAACTAAAGAGACACAGAGAGACAGAGAGAGTTCGTTGCCCATTTAATGCCTCTCTGGAATTAGGAGAAAGGAGTAGGAGAATCAGTCACTCAGTGAAAAGCAATGAAAGAGTTGTTAGAATGGGGGTTGAAGGAGGGGGAGGGGGTAGTGCCACTTACGACCTAAATAATAATATAATATTTTCGGACATCGGACACACAACGCCATCTAGTTTCAAACCAAGCAGATCTTGTACAATAAAAACTATATTGACTAATAGAAAACCTATATACTTTTTGTTTGTAAATACATACATAGAAAACACCCAAACTCCGAAACAAATATTTGCAGATCATACAAACTTTTGGTCCGATCCGGGAATCGAACCCGAGACCTCAGCACAGCAGTCGCATACGCTACCACTGCACTACCGAGGCAGTCAACGTAAATGATTACAAGGTACGAAACCAAAGGCCATGTTTCAACGTTTGCCGTTCCTAAATAAAGACCCGGCGACGACAGTAATTTATCTTTAGACGGTACTATGGTTACTATAATTAAATACTACAATCATCTTTACAACAAGATTCCTGTTTTAATGGAGAACAGTAGTGCTATTAAAATTGCAGTTTCTAAGCCGTTGTTATTGAACATAAACACAATAGCTTTGATGATATACTATCAGACGATACGTAAGTGGGCATTGTTATATGAATATCATTCAACGAGACATTTTTTGAAAGTCATTGTTAGGTGCTGTGTATAATGCAGTTCCGTGGCTAAAACTAGAATACGCGGCATAGGGAAGCAAATACAATCTATTAAATAAATATATAATAAGCAACAACGAGATATTATACTGTACTGTATAGAAAGTTATTTCAAATCAGTTATTATAAAGCTATTATTTTGTTAACTTAAAAAAAAGTATTGCTGACTTAAATGCGTTTACGTCATGATCATCAACAACAGCCGAAAGAAGGTTTTGTCCTACTGTACCACGCTGGCCAGACGGGTTTTGTATAGGGTTTGTTTCAAATTTTCCTTCTCTTTGCAAGGTTATGCTATTGTTCTGCAGAGTTGGCTCCCTTAGTCGGCTCTTACGACACCCACGGAATGAATAGGGTAGGGGTAGGGTAGGTAACACTCTGTATTCTTAACCCGTCACCACACGGACATTCACCGAGTTTACATCATGATAAATGGTAATAAGCTGTGTTTCGGATTCTCTATATTTTCTAGCCTCAAGGAATGTGTTTTTTCTTCCAGGAAAAATACCATTCCAGAAGTATATTTTCCCAAATAAAATAAAGAGTTATCCAAGTCCTAGGGACACAAATTACGTAGGCAAAATAAGCTTTGCGAGTAGTGGCGGCCAGTCAGTCACGGTAACGATCGTTCCGAGCTTACGCGTGTGTAAGGAATAAACAGGATTATATGCGTAAGAATTTCTTTTATTTGATTACTCAAGAACACCTTACTGAAACACGCATACATAGATTCATATAATACAATTAACTTAACAAGTCAATGCATAAATGACGTACTATACGAAAACAACTGTTTTTTTAATTGCTTTAAACTTTATTGTAAATGAAAAATAGGCGGTTAAATACAATTTGAAAAACGCATTGAAACTTAAGTTCAATTCTTGAACCAAAACCACCCGCGTACCTCAATTAAAAGCAGGTCATCTTTACATAGTTTAAAATAAAGTCGCTTTTTTGTGTTGTACGCTTAGATCCTTTAAATAAAGCAACGGGTTTTAATGTGTCACCAATAGAGAGATTTAAAAGAAAGGTAAAGGAGGATATGTAAAATACATGCATATTATAGTAGAGAATCTCCGATAATTTCAAAGATTTGTCGTAAATAATATGTTTGTGTGCGCCTACATTGCAAATGCTGGCTAAACCTTATGAGATAGACTAAAATAATGTACTACGGAATTGTATATCTTAAAAAGATCCACAAAAAGTCCCAGATATCCCAGATGATATACGTCTATCTTCTAAGGATAATCCACAGTAACTTTTATCTTTTAATACGTTAGATTAAAATTGTTCTTTATAGCGTATTATTAAAATGAATATGTTAGAAGATATTAGAGAGACGTTTAAAATGCGGGGCCCAAGGACCGTCGAGCCGTACGTCCGTCCTGGGTTGCTACCCGGCCGCCAGGATCGGAGCGGGCTTGTAAATATTGCATTTGAAGATATTCTCAAGTGCTATCATAATAATAGTTTAATTACGCCACACTGACACCACATTATTAGCGTTAGTAGTATCTATATTGCACCCGTGCGAAGCCGGGGCGGATCACTAGTTAGAAATAAACGATGACATAAACATAAAACACATAAACAGTAAAAACTTAAGAAATGTACAAGAAGAAATAGCGTTGAGTATAGTGCTGAGTTTATAGAATATCGAATTGAGTGTATGTACTTACATATTAAGTACACATGGATCATGTAAATAACTTTGTATGTAAATAACCGTGCAGATACTTCACGATTATTGGTGCACCAGTTTTGTGAGTTCTTATATTAAAAACCACTAACAACTTAATAATATCAATATAACTTTTTTTTCCTTGCAAAAAGTAAAGATTATTCCATTTCAATTAAAATTATTTAAAAAAACGGTACCTTATGCAGCGACCTTAACAATTACCGTGCATTATTTATTGGACAAACGCTCTTGCTTCGGTATCTCAAAATACTGTCTGTCTTATCTCAGTGTAGACTTGCATTTCATAATTTATTAAAATGGAAATGGAATTGCCCATTAAAAATTGCCAGCTACGGGTATTGAAGACTTCTATGGAAGCCAATTTTCCTGTAACATTAGAACAATCTGTGAGGCGTCTTTGTGAAAAAGAAGGCTTCATAAAATATAAGATAGATAAAAGGAGTGTATCTACAGACGGTGGTAATTATTTAGGTATTCTTTATGAAATCGATGTTAAAGGCAGGACTAAGGATGGAGATAAAGAACTTCACCTCTTTGCAAAACACATAATTAAAGGTGACTCCCTAAAAATACTCTCCGTGTCGAATGTTTATGCAACTGAAATATTTGCTTACAAAGAACTTTCCAAGATATTTACTGACCTTCAAGAAGAAGCGAATGTGCCTTTAGAAGAAAGATATAAAATGATTAAAGTATACGAGGAAAGTAATCCCGAAGCAATCATAATGGAAAACATTGCTAAAAAAGGCTTTACTCAATATTACAGAATGGAAGTACCGTCCCTGAATTTCTTTGAAATATCTGTCAAACAACTTGCTAGATTCCATGGACTTTCATTTATTTTAAGAGAAAGGAGGCCGATTTTCTTTTCAGAAAAAATCAAAACTCTTAAAAATCCTTTCATCTTCGATGCCAATTGGATAGAGATGATGACAAGTTTAAAAGAGGCCAGCCTCAATCATGTAGACGAAAAATTCAAAGACAAACTTGAAGAAGCATATGAAAGTTTATTGTACAAATATAGTCAATACTGCGATGACGAGAATTTAAATGTTTGTCTTCGCCACGGAGATTATCGACCTTGCAACATTTTGATCAAAATACATGTAAGAATAATGTCTTTCTTCATTTCATTTTTCTTCGGGGTTTTTCGTTTGTATTTATCCGTTTTCATATTTCATTTGACCTTTAATGTTTTGGACTTATGATTCTGTTTTTCGTTAGTAATTCATAACACGTATTTTGTCCCACTTTAGCTGCAAGCCATTTGTGTCTATATGTATATCCTTGATAGTACAGTCTTTCTTAGTCTTAGACCCGTTGTGTTTCTATCAACTGTTTTGTTGATCACTTTTTTTTTCAGGACGGTGACATACAAGAGTTAATACCCGTGGATTATCAGCTGTTACACTACGGTTGTCCCGTTTTTGACTTCCTATATTTCATCTTTGGTGGGACAGATCGAGAATTCCGCAACAAACATTTGGTATATTTAAAAGACCTGTACTATGAGACCCTAACCACATTTTTACAATACTTTGATTTGGATGTAGAAAAGGTATATTCGAGAGAAGAATTCGAGAGGGTGTACAAAGAAAAGTTGGATTTTGGTTTGATGACAACGTTGATACTTTTGCCTTTTGTATTTGCGTCTGAAAACGATGTACCTGATTTCAGCCAATCAGAAATGCGGTTTCATATTGATGATAGAATTAAGGAGCGATTTCACGGTGTGATTGAAGAATACATGGATTGGGGTTTTTTGTAAATATGTTGTAAAACAACTTTTGTAGTAATTTAACTTCTTATAGGAATTGGGTAGAGTCTAAATAGTGCGTTATGTATTCTGTTGACTGTCTTCTTTCTTTTTTATCTATTTTTATGAGTAATTAATGGTAAGAAAAATATTTGTAGAGCAAATATCCACAAGCAATAGTTCCAGAAAACTGAAACTTAAATATGATCCCACAAATATTGTCAGGAAAAATATATAAAAAAGAATTACAGTATCACATGGTCCTGTAATACTGTAATATTAATTATAATGTCTTTATTTATGCATAAAAACACAGTTGGGTTTTCTGAATAAATATATTCTTATATATGGATTGATTTGATTTGTTGACATTTTTATATTAGCTAATGTTGTGGTGTTATTTAAATGAAAGAAAGAAGAATCATTCATTATGCAGTTTAAAGTTTCGGAATACGAGAATACGGAATACGGCATACGAAAAAGAAGCTACTATGGTCTATGTACGAGTAGAAAGGAGTAAACAGCTAGCTAGGAGTACCAAACAATGATTATAATTATTTTAAGATGTAAAATGAGGGTAATCTTTATACACGTTGTCTATATATAGTTAGTTTTTATATTTATAATTAGTTTTAAAAGTTAGATGTTGATGCTAATCACAAATTGATGTCACGCTGTAACTAAATTAATAATTACCTATAACTAGAGTTCGTTTGGTTGACCAGATTTTACTGGTCTCTACGTTTCTACTTTTGTTTGTACATTTTTACATTACATATAAACATTATGTGCGCGCCGTGCCGTGAAATGTCAGTCCTAATGATATCGGTTTAAATTGTCAGGCGGGATTTTAAAAGGAATAACCTAAGATGTTATGTCTCGATGGAATGAGAGAATGGAATGGAATGGATGAAACGATAAAGTTTTAAATATTCAGTTTTGACTTATCTATTCTGACACATTGAAGTTTAGTCTGTAACTAATTTTAAGTAAAATTTAAGTGAGTGCCTTCTGTTGATAGTCGTTCTAATTTATTCAAAGGCACGTAGACTTTTCTGACGGGCAAAGCAACGAATAACTTTCTAAACTTTTTTCAAGTTTCTCTAAGTGATGGTCTAATGGTCGTACAGCATCTGCCGTTGACAACGATTCTTTTTTGAAATAGGAAAGTAATTTGTTGTTTATATGTTTTGAAATATCGTAGGTAGATTAAAGGTAACCATGCTGTACTAAAAGTGCTATATTAATTTCGTTGAACTAATTCATATTTGAAAGTAAAACCATTATATTTTAGAAATTTCAACTTGCTTCATAGAAATCATCATCAAAGTTTTTCCTGCCTCTTTCAAGTTTATATAGGGTCGGTGCAATTTATAAGATTGTGAAAGGTGGATTTGAAGAGCATGGGGTCGTGTACCCGTATATATGTCTATCTTCTGATTGCAGAGATCAGTATTCAGAGATATGAAATCAAAAGTTTTTGACTATAAGCAAGTTGGCTGACGAGATCAGACGAGAAATCTGCTCTATCTTATCCTCTATATTATTTAATAAATAGTAGGAATATTTGAATAAAATTCAATTTCAAATAACATTTACAAATATCTAATATTACGCAGAGTGGAGTTGCACCGTTATTCGTCTAGGATTTATTCAACTCCAGCCGCACGTAAAACATACGGCACATTGTATCAAATCCAATCTAATATTCTCTGATATAACATGATTTTGGCTTTTGTATAATTTTTAATCATTACTCATCATATTTGTCTGTCTGGAAGGCTTCTTTTTACCCGACTGTCAAGGAAGGATTATGTTTTTCACGCGTATCTTGCATGTTTGTTTGTAAATTCCTTTATGCCTCGTGTCTTCCAAATGGCTGGATATTATGGTGCTGTTTTATCTGTCTCAAAAATCCAAACGTCCTTCCAACTTTTTGAAAGAAAGCAACAAAATGACGGCTTTTAGGCGCAAAAAACTAATACGTTACTAAAAAAATAACCAAAACTATTGAAAAGGGTATCAAAATCAAGAAAATTATAAGCGGATTAGAAAAAGACATAGAAAGTATATATTTAAATTTATTTTTGCAGTCAGGTTTTTGATTTCTAAATTACGTAGACTTGTTACATTCATTGGTATATGATAGGATAACTCAGTTATGGATCGTTGATGTACCAAGCATTACCGCTAGGTAGATGAAATGTTGACGTATCAGAGCAGGCAGGTAGGCAGAAACTCGAATTGGCTATTGTTGTATTATCCAAGCCCTCCAACTGATCATGCTTTAATATAAATTCAATTCAGTCCGACACTATCTCTGATCAACAAATTGTTGTTCTAAGTCTGGGTGTTCTTTGTGTCCGTTTCATTTATGTTTGTAAAGTCCCCCGCGACACAGGATATATTATTAATGCGGGAGCTATCTTAAAAAAAAAGAAAAAACAAACAACATATTCCTTTTCTTTATATTATACTTTCGCCAGACGAGCCCCGCGATTGCCGCTCCTCTCCTAAAGCTCACAGATTTCAGAAGTGTAGCGTAATGATAAGTAACCTATAGAATTGAGCGATGTAATGCAAAATTAATATTTAAAATCCGACCGGTAGTTCCAGAGAATTCCAGCTCTATCTAAAAAGCAAACTTTTCAGGTTTATTATACGTATCGCTTCGAGATGATATCTGAATCAGATAGTCTTGGCGGCACAAATAGTTGCGTGACGATCAAAATATAAATAGATTGATTTGATTTTTCGTCATTTTTGTGTTAGATCATTTTTGGTTGCTAAAACTGTACTTTAAATTTTAATAATTATAAATATTTTAATAATATTAATTATATTATAAAAATGTTATTCATGTTTTAAATTGTAAACTGAATCGAAAAATTGTCTTTATCTATATATATATCTCAATGTTTTTGAAACACCTATTCAATGTAGACACCATAATTTCGACAGCAAACATCATCACCGTTGTACTTGATTTCTTGAATGCAAGATTATAGTGTAAAAACATCGGACAAATTGTAGATTCAACTGAGACATTTTTGTTTACACAGCCCTATGACGTAATAACATGTCAGCTACTATTTCATGGTGTTGAAAACAGATTAAACACTGAAAACTATAAATTTAATTTTAAAATTTACATTTTTTTACTATTCTATGATCTAAAACTAATATGTTTTCATTTAACTTTTTTTCATAAGCTTTTTCAATAATGTATTTTTAGATTTTTCTCATTTAACAAATTAAAATAATATTCGGACATCTGACACAACGCCATCTAGTTTCAAACTAAGTAGAGCTTTTTCTATGAAAGCTAGATTGACTGATAGAATACTTTTACTTTTTTTTTGTTAACATTATACATATTATACATAGAAAACACCCAAACTTCGATCCAAATATTTGCAGATCATATAAACATTTGGACCGACCCGGGAATCGAAACCGAAACCGCAGCAATCTCAGACGCTGCCACTGTACCACCGAGACAGTAACATATTAACTTTGACTTTGAGTATATATTTATTTCGATCAAATTATTAGATTTACAATAATTCCTAAATATATATATATTTATTTCCATGAAATTATTAGATTTACAATAATTCCTAAGCACTTATTACTATATAGTATAGTCCGTCTAAAGGCTGCCTGGAAGAGATTGCAGACTGCGATTTGCCGCCCATTGTATCACTGTTTTTTTTTGTATGTATTCTACATTGTATGTCTCCTAATCATGACGTGCAATTAACAGTATCTATCTAACGAACAAGATTTAATGAGATTTTTAGGCATCACGTAGGTGCACAGGCTGTGGTCACAATGACCACAGCCTGTCCTCACAATGACCACAGCCCGTGACAATAACAGTGATCATTTTCTCAAGTTCTGAGAAATTCGTTACGGTATCTGTGCAACGGTCATTAATCAAGCGGGTCCATCTAAAGCTATTGGTGTTACGTTGTCAGCAAAACACCCTGACAAGGGCTGTACACCGGGATTAAGTAATTAGGGTGAACATGAGAACGGAACTGCTATCCTTATTGGCAATTACTTTGTTTAATCACATTTTAATGACACAAAAGGATTGTTTATTTGTTGATTTTATAATAAATAAATTTATCGGTCCAAAAGTGTAAAACATAGCAGACACAATTGGCATTTACAGTATTATAAGCTAAAGTTCTAAAGTTTCGTAAAATTGTTGCATATTAAAAAAATTGAACCTTGACTCTTAAACTAGGGTACGCCAGGTTGCCGCTCTAAGGGACTACAATAGTGATTTTCATTGGACATTGAGACGATGAAGATACTCTGTTGATTGGATGATCACCGTATGTACAATATATACCAAAGACAGTTTGAGTTGAATGTGTATGTGTGTGTGGGTGCGCGTGTGTGTGTGTGTGTATGTGTGTGTATAAATTTGATTTCTGAAAGTATTGGTAAGTAAGTAAGGCTTGACAATAGTGATTCTAAGGCTTTACAGAAAACCGGTGTTAAGCAATTGTTTTGTTGCTATTCACCGAGTGAGTGAGCTTATCGGAGACCTAACCCCCCTCCTGCTGATTCCGGGGGGGGGGAGGGACAGGGTGACTCTCCAGTCACTTAGGTACCATAACGTGACGGAAACATAAAAAAAAACCTTAGTATTAAATAGAGCTTTTTCTAAGGAATAATTTGGGCTATAACCACGCTTCGACCGCTTAGAAGTGGAGCAATTCTCATAAATGCAGATGAAACTGCGAGTAATGACTAGCTATTATGGCGGTTGGTGGTAAATAAGTAACAACGTGTGCTTCACTCAATCACTGGTCTCATTTAACAAGCTCACGTACATGTGTTCATGGGTAGTTAACTATGTATATGTAATAACATGTGTATGTTAACTATGTATTTGACGACCGAATGGCGCAGTGGTTTGTGTAACGGACTGCTATTCCAAAGGTCGCGGATTCGATTCCCGCTCAAGTCAAACATTTGTGTGCATGAACATTTAA